TGCTACAGAGACTATGAGCCACAGGTCAAAAATATTTACCTTTACAGAGGTTTCTTGACCGCTAATTTAGCTAATAAAAAAGGATTTGCAGTTGTAAGCTCCAGAGCTCACTCTAGGGTTCTTATTCATGGTTTTGGTAGCTCACAGAACCTCATGGATGGCCAGGGAGCCAGCCTAGAGGTCATGCCACCAGGGGCCAGGCCCAAACCTCTCTGTGGGAGGGAAGGCCCCCCAGGGGACCCCTCAGCAGCCCCACTGAGCACACCAACTGGATACCAGAGCCTGTGCTGTCACTGTCCCCCAGAGGGCACATCTCTGCCATCTCTTTGGTCAGGTAGACATAATACAGACCCTGTGGCCCCTCCATTCCACTTCTAGTAGACAAAAGGGTGCTTACTGTGCACAGGGACACAGGCACAGGGGGACTCTTTAAGGTTCTAGGGGCAATGGTGCCCAGCACCAGGCGTGGGCAGTAGAACTCGGTCTTTTGTTTAAGGACACAATGGGAGCTTTGCTGCTCACATAATGGTCCATGGTGAGGGTGCCCATAGCAGTCCTCCAGGCAGGCACTGAAGCCCAGGCCAAGGGCAGTTCTGACACCTTCAACCCATGGTGTCAAGGTCATTCTGGAGGCCGACTTCCCAATTAGCTAGGAGGGAAAGGATTGGGTTCAGGGCCAGAAGGCCAGGCACATCTCCTCAGCTGGCATCCAGGAGCTAAACCTCCACTGAGTGGCTCCACCCACCTGCAAAGGAAGCTGGGAAATGTAGTCCATTCTTGTGCCTGGAACCCAGGAGGCTCACCAGGGGAGCCAAGAGCTTCCAGTGGCCTGGACCAGGGGACCAAGTAAGAAGTCATGTTTACTAAGAGCACAAGGGATGATCTGAGGAGGAAAAGTAAGGCAGCACAGGATGCCTAACTGCACCTTCACAACACTACGTCTTTATCTCTTGATGTATTTTGCATGATGTCTACTAGGATACACACATCCAAACACATAGCAGATGGATAGAAGGAACATACTTTCAATACACTGAGTGAGTGTGTGTGGAGGGGGGGAGGAGAGGGAAGTTGGAGTAGTAGAGATGTGTGCTAAAGGCAAAAAAAAGTCAAACTAGAAGAAAGTCAAAGCCATTGTTCAGTGCTGCTGACGTGGTGTGTGATGGCCTGGCAGCATGGTCAACTGACTGCCATGTATGATGTCCAAATTTAAAGAGGAGAAGCAATGTAGTAAAGAATAAAAGTCATACACATCTGTTGTAGAAAATGTGGGAAATGTAAAAACTATAATGAACTAAACAAATACACATAATCCCAGTCCCCAGTTGCAACTGCTATTGTTGTGTATTTCCTGTCTCTTGCAAAAAGCATCACACTCTACTGTAGTTTGCTCATTAGAAATACAAACTATTATGTACACTCTATATTCTGCTCTTTGTTCCCCGTTTTTCTATTTATCATGAAGTATGTTCCTTATTCCATGAAATCTTTGAGTAGACTTTCCAGCGGCTAAATGATTTTGCACATTTGGATTTAACTATTACCTTATTCATGAGAACGTAGATTCTCTTGGACATGGGACAGTTCTAAGTGAGGTGGCAACAAACAGCCGTCATGCAGTAACATCTTCATGTGGCAAGGCCTCAGCATGTGACTCTATAGCTTAGATCAGATCGCCAGAGTGAACTGGGTCAAAGGGAATGAATGGGGATGTGTGTGCGCATTAATTTTTTTTTTTGTAGCACCGGGCCTTGAACTCAGGGCCTTCTCCTTGAGTCACTCCACCAGCCCTATTTTTGTGAAAGGTATTTTGAGATAGGGTCTCACAAACTATTTGCCTGGGCTGGCTTTGAACCATGATCTTGTTGATCTCAGCCTCTCAAGTAACTAGGATTACAGGTATGAGCCATCGGAGGAGTGGAGATAGGTGCTAAAGGCAAAAAAGTCCCCAGAATTGTGCATCCAAAGCCCAGACCCCTCCCAACCCGAGAGGAAGCCTTCTTTTCCTGATGGCTTAGCCATGCATGTGTGCACTCCACAGCATTACATTTTAATATGCTCTGCTTCTGAGCTCTGTGCAAATGGAATCGCACCCAACATGCTCTTTTACATCTGGCTTTCTCAGAAAACATTATTTCTTCAAAGGAATGGACATTCACTCTTCTCAGTCCTGCATGACAGATGCACCTGGTATGAGCAGGGCTGTGAGGTTTGGTGCACTGACCACACACACTGAGCTGAAGGAAGCAGATGTGTGAGCATCAGGGTTCATGCCTGTGATGTCAGTGTAGCCTGGATTTGAAATCTGAAATAAACTTCCCAGTGCACCAAGAAGAGGAGCAAAAGCAAATATGAATGCTACATTTTTATACAATAGAATTTTTAAAGCAGCTTGCACATTACTAGATTAGTTCCTAAATTCAATGCTGTGAGGGAGCTCTACTTTCACACATTGAAAACACTGAATTATCAGATCCATGGGATTTCTTTGTGTTGACTTACTTCAAATTACCCAGATACTGAGTGGTGGGTCAGGATTTGAATCTAATCTGTTTTACTCCAAACCTTACCCATCTTCAACCACCCAAGAATCCACATTTTTATATTGATTAGTTCAAGGCAGTAAACCACAGGAAATGAATGTATTTACTTCTCTGTATCCATGAATATCAGGGTATGAATAACACAATCATGTGTATAATCCAGTAGAGAAAAGGACTTTTTTGAACACACAGACAGAATTTAATAAAACAGTTTGGGCTTCCCGTGCTATCCAGAAGTAATAGGCACATCTCCTATTATAGCAATTTTAAGAGGCAACTGGGATTGCTGGGCACAGCCATGGCCTTTCAACTCCTGCTTTGTAGGAGGGAGTCTGCATTTCCCTGGGAACCTGCACTCCTTCGAGTCTCAGTGGAGCTTCTCATCAGGACAGTGGCTAATTGATCATCTGAGATGGTGGTTCTCTACAGCCACGGCAGAGCTAGGCACCTTCCATTGCCAATCTGACAGAGGAAGTCCAAGGTGCCTTCCCTGCATGTAGTAGAATAATAAGAGCGCCTTTCCCTTTTCTTTTTTTTACATCATTATTTTAAAAATAAATTTATTGTGTATATTTGAGGTTGAAATATGGAATTCATAAAGATAAGAGTCATCACTATCGTGAAGCACATTAACGTGCAATCATTTCACGGGCTAATCCTCATCTCACTGTTGTGATCCCAAGTGCTGAATAAACTCCACCCCTAAACAAATTACCTAACACAACCCAACTTCGCCTCTACAGTCCTCATTTCTACATTAGATCTGTTCTTCATTCCACTCATGCTCTAGTGTATCTTTGACTCACACCTCCCTATTTTCTCCATATTCTCTGAACATTACCAACACTGTCCTTCTTCATCTCTGTAATACTTTAAAAAACTCTGCACATGTGACCTAATGCAATAAATGTCAATGTCTGGGTTATTTTACTTAGTGTTATGTTCTCCTGGTCCTTTCCCTTGTCTGGGATGAAATTTGAGTAGGTCTCACAACTTTATTTCATCACTTATGTATAATAGAAAGACCTCTGTACACTTTAAAGTCACAAACACGGGATCGTGTCAAAAATTGCCTGTGACCAAGAAATTATGGATAAGGCAAGCCATAATTAAAATGAAATTCCTTTGGATTCTGAATGTGAAAATCTTTCTCACACTCTACTAAAAGAATATTCATTTAAATTGCTATATAGAATTTCACAGGCATCGACATTCATCATTACATTTGAAGAACAAACCACTATTTTGTTTCTTCAGACACCGTGGCAATGCACCTATTTGTACCTAGCTGTTGTGCCTGTGTGCAGGAGTTTCTCCACAGACTGTCACAGAGTAAAGTCCTGGCTCAAAGGGAATGAGATTCTTCAACATTGTAAGATAAATTTTCCATAGCTTGTTTTATTCCTAAAAATGGGGAAATAAGCAAACAAACCTTAAATGTTTGCTAGTCCTGTGGGTGTGAAATTTTATCTCATCCCTTAATGTTTCACTGACTTTCAGCAAGGATGATGAGGATGATGATCTGCTAGCATTGTTTATTTTCCAATTTTATTTTGCAATCACATACTCATTTTTTAAATTTTTAGTAGGGTGTTTGTTCTTTTGTAAAAGATCTAAGCATGCACTTAACATTCTGCTTACTTTACCCTTTATTGGCTATGTACATTTTAAGTACCTCCTAATCTCTAGCTTGATTTTCACTACTCATGAGGAATGTGTGTGCTTGCATGTATGCACATAGGCATTAACACTAATCCTTTCCTTAATGGTCTGAATTTTATCAATGCATGTATCTTGAAGGTAAGTCCATGAAAATGTCCTCTATGTTTTCCAGAAAGTCATTTAGTCTTAACTCGATTTAATTTTTTTTTACTTTGAAAAAGCTTTTATTTTCACATTAGTCTACAATTACAGTATATAAACTTTTGACATAAAGACACAAAGCTTTTGGAGTTTGAAAGACCCCAATGCAAGATTAATTCATGAAACTCCGATGACTTATATAATAGTGTATTAAATAATCAGTTTAAAATACTTCAACTATCTAGGAGGAAAAGAGAATATATTATCTAAATAAAGTAAGTTCATACTTAAATCATATATTTATAAAATATCCTGAGAATGAAATTTTATTAAACTTCAATATGATGTAAAGTATAATAATTAAATAACAATAGTTAATTTAAACAGAAAATGAGAAGTCAAAATTACTTTGAAAAGAGGCCTTACTTTCACAATGTTCTAAAATTATACTAAATACATTTTTTGGCATAAAGACACATTCATTGGAGTTTAAAATACAGACACTGCAAGATGATATACATAAAACTGCAATTATTATTTATGTATTTGTGGATTAAATAGTCAAGACGGTCATAGAATCTGGACCAAAATTGAAAATAAAATATAATATCTAAATAAAATAGATGGAATTTAAGAGATAAGACTCCCATTTAAATCATCTATTTATAAAATACCATCCTCACCATTATAACTCTACTAAGGTCCAACTTCAGAGAGTTACTAAGTAACAGTAGTAACTGAAACTGAAATGACAGAAGTCAAAAGTATTTTGAAAGAGAGCGTACTTTCCTGTTGGTCTACAATTATGGCAAATACATTTTTGGGCATAAAGGCACAACTTTGGAGTTTAAACAGCCCAGTGCACGGTTACATAGATAAAACTGGAAGTATTACTGATGTAATAGTGCCTTAAACAATCAAATTCAAATCGACATACTATCTAGAGTACAATGCAAAAGGAACAAAACACCTAAATAAAATAGAATGGAATAAAATAATATTCCTATTTTAATCATCTACTTATAAAATTTTATTCTGATAGTTATAATTCTAGAAAGCTTTAATTTGAGATAAAGTATAATGACTAACTGTAGTAATTTTAACTGAAAATGAGAGAGAAGTGAAAACAATTTAAGGAGACCTTACGTTTATAGTCTATCATTGTACTAAATGTATTTTAGGTCTAAATACATAAACTGTGGAATTGAAAAGCTCCACTGCAAGATTTCCTACATAAAACTCCAATTCTTGTTTATGTAATTGTAGATTAAATAATCAAATGAAAACTTATCTAGAACAAAATGAAAACAAAACATACTATCTAAATAAAAGAGAATGGAAATAATATAAGAATCCTATTTAAACCACCTACTCATAAAATACTATCCAGAATATTAAGCTTCTATTAAATCTTACATTGAAGGTAAATAATAATGACACATAAGAGCAGTTCTTTTACATAAAAACAAGAGAGAAGTCAAAGTTATGCAGAGATGAAAACACTGCCAAGTCTCTTCTTGTCGTTCTACAGGTTCAGCTGCAGGATCATCTGAAGGTGGAATCGACCCTGAAGAAAACTCACTTCTACTTCAGGAACGTGGCTACAGCAGGGGAATATGCAGCTCTTGGGGGAAGATAACTGGGGAAACCCCTCGGTGAATGGACATTTCTCATTGGAACTGGGGTATATGGTGGGCCACAGAAATCCCTTGGGACAAAATACTGTCCGGGGCTTGGATGCACTGGGAAGAATGGACCTCGGACAGGAGGAACAAAACCTGGAAACACTACTTTACTTTCCATAGGCAGAGATGAAACAGGCACATATGAAGTATGTCTCTGTGGAGGAAGAGCTGGATCAGTACACGGGTGATCTGATGGAGGGAAAATCATTCTTCCATCCTGTTTGCATGGAGGAGACAGGGATCCAGTCTCAGGAGGTGCTCTACGAGGGACAGTCACCCTGTCATTGCTTGATTGTCTTCTTTCATTGCTAATGTGATGCTCTACAGGATTCTCTGGTCTTCTGGAGCCTTGTCCTCCCTGAGGAAGAAAAGGTGGAGGTCTGAATGGACCTTCCAAGAAAACTGAAGGAGACAGGAAAGCTTTCCTTTCTGATGAAGGTTCACCCAATGGTGAGGGATCACGTGGAAAATGCTCCCTGCCACATGCTGCATTTGAAATACCACATTTCTCTAAATGTTCAAATTCCAACAGCATTCTCAGTAACTTTTGTCTCTTGCTGGCATTGACTTTCCTAAAATACTTGAGTTGTTTTTCAGCAGCCTGAACTTTCAAGGAGTTAAAATAAGCTTTTTGTTCATAGGAAACAATCTGCCTTTGGTAATAATGATTGGTTCTCTCCAATTTTTCTTCGAGCTCTCTGGCTGCATTTTTATAGGTCTGCAGGTCTTCAGCCGCCTGTCTCATCTTTTCTTCTGCTTTGGAAACTTTCTTCTCTATGTCTCGCTGGTAATGATCTTCTGCCATAAATTTCATGTAGAATTTCATTCCATTCTCTTCATACAGTTCTTTAATTTTCTTAATATTCTGCCAAAGTTTCTTATTCTCAACTTCCAACTTTGTATTTTCACACTGTAAAATTTCTTGTTCACACTGGACACTTTTAATATGCTGTTTAAGATCTTCACTTGCTCTCTCGACGTCACACAACTGTGTATAAACTTGGTTCCTTTCTTGTTCTAAGGTTTTTAAAGAACCATCTAACTTCACAGCATACATCAGCTTTCTCAAGGCTTCTTCTGTCTGGTTATCTAAGAGAGCGCCATTTCCTGATCCACTCTTCATTGCTGATTGCAAGCGCCCGTTACCTGTCACATATTCTTGAAGAATAGGCCAGACTTTCATCTTTAGCAGGCATTCAGTTAGAGACCTGATGTGATCTTCCTTGGCACTTAGAAGTTGTTCTGCATGTGCCACAGAGTCTTCCACTTTAATTTTCTGTCTATGAAGTTCACTCATAGACAGAATGATCTTCCTTGGCACTTAGAAGTTGTTCTGCATGTGCCACAGAGTCTTCCACTTTAATTTTCTGTCTATGAAGTTCACTCATAGACAGAATGATCTTCCTTGGCACTTAGAAGTTGTTCTGCATGTGCCACAGAGTCTTCCACTTTAATTTTCTGTCTATGAAGTTCACTCACTTGTTCTTTGCATGCTTCAGCTTCTCGTAAAAGCTGCTTACAGCTTTCTTGAAGTTTGGTGTTTTCCTTCCAGACATCTGTTGTTGAGTCCTTAAGATGTGCTTCATTGATCTGAAGGAGTCTTAAGGTTATTTTGGCTTTAGCTACTTTGGATTTGAGAACTTTTGACTCATCCTCCAGGCAATGTATCATTTTTGACATTTCCACATTCAATTCAACTTGTTGACAGTGTTTAGATTTCTCTTCTATCAGCTGGTTTCCTAGAAGGAGAACTTCCTCCAGTTTCGACTTGGATATTTCCACCTTTGCGGAGGCTGCCTCAAAAGGGTGTCTTCTACTGATCTAGCGTCCTTTAACGATGACTGCAAGCCATCATGCTGTTTCTGAAGAAGGCTAAGTTTGTCAAGTAACTTACATTTTTCCTCAATTAGTCCAGAAAGCTTCACAGCAAGATGTTTTTCTCTTCTTGCGTAAAGTCGGCTTCGAACGGATTGAAAACTTCTCCACAAAATCAGTAGAACAGAAAAAAGTCCAATAATAGCTACATATATCACTAGCTCCCATGGAAAATCATAGGGCTTTGGTCTCAGTTCTTCAGGATCTGTTGTCACAAGCCTGGAAAATTCCTTTAGGACCAGTGTCGAGTACATCTGATGGACAGTCTTGGGCCCATCCATGGCTCCAAGGCTGCTTTGGCTGTTGCCAAGGCCTGGCTGAGCCTCAACAGACAACACTCAGAGTTCTGCCTGGAACCCTCACACTGGAGCAGACCATTGTAGAGCTGACTCGGGGGTGGCAGGGGTGGATTTGTTAATGGGCCTTTCCTTCAGCACAGAGGGGAGAAGCTTTACATGGTATTGGCCAGAGTTTTTCCAGGAGGGCCCACCCTCTTATATGAAATGGAGAAAGATTTCCCATGTATCCTAAAGCTCATCTGGGAACCCTCATAGATAAATCTAAGAAAAATATTATTCTATTGTGTGTTTGTGTGTGTGTAGGGGGTCCTATTGTTTTTTATTGAAGCCAGACTCAGATCTCGTTTTAGATAATTATTCATATCTAACACACCAGTCTTAATTTCCATTGCTTGAAAGCACAATTGCTCTGACAGAGGAATGGACAGAGACTTTCCTTTTCCTCATTCTGCCTTTCATCTTTTCTACTTTTTTCCATTTTATATTGAACATTGAAGTCTTGCAATTTCATTTTATTTTACTTTTATATACTTATTGATATTATTTTTGTACTGGGGTACATTGTGACATTTACAAAAGTTCTCACAATATATTATAGTTGAATTCAACTTGATTGTTGTTTCCTTTTGGACAGTTTCTCTTTCTCTCTCTCTCTCTCTCTCTCTCTCTCTCTCTCTCTCTCTCTCTGGGCTGCAGTACTGCAGTTTGAACTCAGGGCCTCAAGTTTGCAAGGGAGGTACTCTACCACTTTAGCCACACCCACCCCCAGTACCAGAAAAATCTCTTCTCTCAGCAACATTTACAGGAGCTCCAGGATTCCCCAAAGATCTGGTCTTTGTGACATATCAAATTTCAATATATGTGTGTGGATCTGTTTCTAGTGGTTCTTGCTTCTGCCCTTCCATTTTCTCTCCTTATGTGAACACTCTCTGTTTTGAATCCATATATCTACAGTATGTTCGAGTTTTGCAGCCTAATTCTGCAGACATGACATTTTTCTTTTTCAAAAATATTTTTCTCTTTTTTGGATCTTTGTTTCTTTAAAATTCTATGAAAAATTCTGTTGGAATTTTATTGGGAGTACATCAGAGAATAATTAGAATTACTTCACTGTAAAATATACATTTCTGTGGCATGGAATCGTCAATGTTCACGAATATGGTAGACCTCTACAATCATTCAGGTATGATTTCATTTTATCCATTAATGTTTACAATAACAATGGAGTCATGCTAACCTTTGTTTTCCTACTACATTTTCTTCCTGATTATTGTTGATGTTTACAAATGTGAATTGTGAAACTATTTCAAATTATGGTAAAATAGATATAACAAAATTTTACCAACTGAACTGTATTAAATATGCAAAAGAACATAAGCATATTCAGTATATTCACATAACTTTGTGGCAGGTCTTCAGAGCTTTTAAATCTGAATGCACCAAACACATCCCCATGTCCCCTTCCATTCATCTGGAAAGCCCCAGTACTCTCTAGCTATATGGTTTCCACCGTTCTAGATATGTTATATAAGTAGAATCTCACAGTATTGGCTCTTCGTTAGTTGGCTTCACACAGCATAATGTTTTGAAGGTTTATCCACAGGGGGTATGCATCTGAATTTCCTTCCTTTTAAAGCTGAGTGGTATTCCACAACGTGTACATGGCACATGTTTTAATCCAATCATTTGGAGATGAACTCTTGGTTCACTTCTAGTCATGGTGAACAATGCTGGTGTGAACATGGATGTGAAACTGTCTTTTCAAAACCATGTTCATGTCTCTTGTATATATAACCAGAAGTATCATTGCTAGTTCATATGGGAATCTAATTTTTGTGGAACCTCCATACCATTTTTCAAAGGAGTAGGTCCAGTTTTGAAAATGACTATGCTTTTTATTTTTTAAGTTGATTATGAACATTTAAAAATGTTCTGGGCCTCTTATTCTGATGCTTTTTGAATTCTCTTGGATATTTTATAGAGAGAGTGAGGCATCTGTTAGAAAGTCCAGTTTCCTCTGCTCCTTTCTAATTCTCATATCCTTTATTCTTTTTCTAATTGATTGCATTTTCTACCACAATGTTGAAAAGAGGAGAAGAGTAGATCATCTTGTTTGTTATGTTAAAGAAGCTATGAACTCACCAGTAGAAGGCTTGGTGAAAATTTTACAATTACATATATATTTTCTTTACTCACTTATTCATATGTGCATACATTTTTGGGTCATTTCTCATGCCTGCCTCTCTCACCCACCTTTTGCCCCCATATCCCTCGCTTCCAGGCAGAACCTGTTCTGCCCTTTTCTCCAATTGTGTTGAAGAGAAGACTTAAGCAATAATAAGAAAGACATAGCGTTTTTGCTAGTTTGAGATAAGGATAGCTAACAGAGAGATACCTAGCATTGCTTCCATGCACAAGTTTATTAAAACCCAAAGTGACTCATCTCTACCTGACCTCTTCACTACTTCTCGCTCAGCTTCCCATATTGACCTCTGTTGTTTTAAGGTTACTGTATTAGCTCCTCTGCAGTGGGGACATCAGACACTTTCAAGTTTTTGTGTTTCCTACTATCCCCATACCTCCCGTATGCACTCACCTCTTAACCTGTGACCCAAGTCCAACATTACTGCCTTTGCCCTAGATTTAAAGTCCGCATATGAGGGAGAACATACGATTTTTGGTCTTCTGAGCCTGGCTAACCTCGCTCAGGATGATGTTCTCCAGTTCCACCCATTTACTTGACAATGATAAGATTTCATTCTTCTTCGTGGCTGAGTAAAATTCCATTGTGTATAAATACCACATTTTCTTAATCAACTCGTCAGTAGTGGGGCATCTTGGCTTTTTCTACAACTTGGCTATTGTGAATAGTGCTGCGGTAAACATGAGTGTGCAAGTACCTCTGGAGTAAACTGAGTCACATTCCTTTGGGTATATCCTGGGAGTGGGATTGCTGGATTATGTGGCAGATCTATGTTTAATTTTTATACGAAGCCTCTACATTGTTTTCCAGAGTGCTTGCACTAGCTTGCATTCCTCCCAGCAGTGTAAGAGGGTTCCTTCTCCCCCACATCCTCACTAAAACCTGTTGTTGATGGTGTTTTTGATGATAGCTATTCTAACAGGGTGAGGTAGAATCTTCATGTGGTTTTGATTTGCATTTCCTTTATGGCCAGAGATGGTGAGCGTTTTGTCATGTCTTTTTTTGGCCATTAAAATTTCTTCTTTTGAAAAAGTTCTGTTTAGCTCAGGTGCCCATTTCTTTATTGGTTCTTTGATTTGGGGAGAGTTTAACTTTTTGATTTCCCTCTATATTCTGGTTATCAGTCCTTTGTCTGATGTATAGCTGGCAAATATTTTCTCCCACTCTGTGTGTGGTCTCTTCGGTTTAGAGACCATTTCTTTTGCTGTGCAGAAGCTTTTTAATTGTATGCAGTCCCATTAGTCCATCCTTTCTCTTAGTTTCTTAGTTGCTGGGGTTCTATTGAGGAAGTCCTTGCCTATACTCTATTGCGTCCAGAGTATTCCCTGCACTTTCCTATACTAACTTCAGAATTTTGGGTGTGATATTAAGGTCCTTGATCCATTTTGAGTTGATACTAGTATAGTGTGATAAATGTGGCTCTAGTTTCAGTGTTTTGCAGGCAGATAACCACTCTTCCCAGCAATATTTGTTGAAGAGGCTTTTTTTTTTCCATCCTGTGTTTTTGGCGCCTTTGTCAAAAATAAGGTGGGCAGAGCTGTGTGGATTTATATCTGGGTCCTCTTTGCTCGGCTCATCTAGACATAGTTATCTATTCTTGGCTTCTGAAGGCTTTATCATGTATCAAGGTTGAAGTTTTACAAACGAGTATAACAATTGTGGTGTAGATTTTCTATGATATTTATCATTCAGTCTGTTTGTGTGGTTTGATACATGTACAAAATCACCAATGTTGCAATGTGATTTTGTTGCTATGATAAATGCAACTTACCTATGATTCAATATTGGCTTATATCCATTCATTGATATTTTATTTAGGCCTTTCTGATGTTTTCAAAAGATTGATCTATAGGTTTTATTGGTACCATCCTTGTATGTTTGTACTGAGAGTATAACGTGACGTTTCATTTCCTATGCTTTGAGGCGATTGGAATAGGATAGCCATGTATTTATCTTAAACTTTGGATAAAATTGATCTGTTAGTTCAGTTGGGATTGCTTATTAGAGTAAGAGTCATTCAATATATAATCCTAAATAGGCTGGATGATTTTTTACATTAGTATTATTTATTTGGGTGGAAAATCTATTTACATGTTTTAAGTTTGAAATATATGACCATGAAATAGGCCAGAACAATTTAATCCCAGCTACTCAGGAGGTCAGTTGGGAGGATGTTGGTTTGAGGCCAGTTTGGGAAAAAAGTTAGTAAGTCCTCATATGAGTGAGTAAGACAGGATTGGTGGAACACATCAGTGCTACCAGCTCCATAGGAGACCATAGGTGGAAGAATCTCAAGTCAAGACCAGACTCAAGCAAAAACAGGAGACCCTACCTGAAAAACAGATAAAGCAAAAAGATCTTAGGCCATGGCTTTCATGGTAGAACATATGCCTAGCAAGGAAAAGCCCTGAATTCAAACTGTAGTTTCAAACCCTAGACTTACCAGTTCTAAATTATGACATCTGTTAATACGGAGAGTCGCACTGCTTTCAAATCTATATAAATTTTATTGCCTTTTCTTGTGTTGTTGTACTAGATGTATTATATGATTTTGAATAAAAGTGATGATAGTTTATGGCCTTACCTTTTTCCTAATCTTAGCAGGAAAGCACTCAGCATTTCACCATTAGATGTGACGTTATATGCTTGGTCATTTTTTGCAGAAATCATTATGACAATAAGTTATTGTCGTATTAACAATATGTTATTTATTGTTATTATGTGATTATACTGAGAATTTTTGTCACGGGTGGTTTATTTACTTTATCCACTTTTCTTCATCAATTGGTATTATCATACGTCTTCTCTTCTTGCACCCTTTATGGTCTGGTTATGAAGTGTCCCCGAAAAACTCACGTATTGTAGGCTTGGTTCCCAGTGAACAGTGTTCAGAGGCCATGGAGGCTTGGGGAGGTGATTGGATCATTAGAGGTCTGGATTAATTCACTGATGAATTCGCAGTTCAATGGACTTTTGGAAAGTTTTGGAAATTAAGGAGGTGGAGCCTCATTGGACAATGAAAGTCACTGTGGATCTAGTATTGAAGAGTAAATTTTGCTCTGGCCTCTTCCCCTCTTTCTCTGCCTTCGCTTGCTGGCCACTATGAGGTGAGCAGTTCTGCTACTGCCAAGGATACCCAAAATGACATTCTTCCTCCCTATAGCCCAGAAACAACAGAGTACAGTGACCATGGACAGAAACCTGTGACATGAATCAAAATGAATCTTT